AGGTTACCTCCTATCAAATCTGCTGTACCCCACCAGTTAAATTGAGTGTACCTAGGTGTAATAAAGTAATAAAAGAACTCTTTAAAGCTATGCTAGCATTGCACATGGCTAACCATATTGGCTAATTGTGATTTTGATATTCATGCTTCATAGAGAATGAAATGGAGAGAGTGCTGTCGAATATAAAAATAGCAAATACAAATAGCCATTTAGAGTATTAAATCATATCCATCAAAGTGGTCTCAACTGCTATATAGTTAGATCAAGCCAGGCACTTATGATTTTGTTAAATGAGACATTTTTTACATAGGTGAGTAAAAAAGTTAAATCTTTATTTGAAAATTAGGGACACATCAACACATTACGTGATCAAAAATCAACTATGAAAGATTTAGGTGGAGTCTAATGACGACACACACTGTAAACGGACTATCAAAACGACAGTTTGCTATTTGTTTTGTATTAAGTTTTGATGACAGGTGTGGAACGTCACAGGTTCGTAATATTTCCATAAAATAAAATTATTAATCAAGCATTGACCTATAAAAATAAGAACACTCCCAATCGCTTAACAAAGGTGCATCAAAAGACGTCTGATGGGTACCGTGATATCACAACTGAATACTATATATCGGTACTGTGATATCACAACTGAATACTGAATACGTTATGTCCTGACAGAAAAGTTGAATGTCAACTGCATTAGAGAGAGAAAGAAAGAGTTTGAATATGGTGCGAGAGACACACAGGATGGACGGAGTGTGCACGGAGTGCACAAGAGACATTTTGTTGTAACTATTTAAATGTATTAAAATTAACAATACTATAGAAAACACCAAGATAGTTGCATAATTTTATTAGTCTCCCTTACACTTGCCTGAAATACAACTCCTACCTCCATAGTGTGGTCTGGTGTCATTGCCCAGTTTTTAACCGAAAACTGTCATCGCGTGGCGTTGTAATCACAGCGCGGTCTAAGCACGACTGTTTGAAAGTTACGCACAATAGACGTAAGACGTGCGTAATTTTGGTTCCGACATTTTTGCGCTACTTTTGTTTGTGTTTTTGAGTCTACTTGTTTTTACTAGTAAATGTATTCTAAGGATAAATAACATTGCCCAGTGAAATGTTTCCACTGCTTATTAAGGTTTTTTTTTATTGAAATATAATGTTGATCAGTGGGTGCAATGGCGACACTTGCTCTATGGGCCGATTCCCAGTATCCCCAAAAAAATATGCCTGTAAAACCTTGTTAAATTTAAGAAAACTCGTAACTAATATGAACAGATCACGGTTTGGCCGTTTGTCGGTGCACATATTGTCAACAACAGAATGCTGATATCAAACACTTAATCTTTTGCTGCTCCCCTTTTGGGTTTCATTCAGCAAACTTGAAAAGATTTCCGAAGAGTTGCAACGAAGTGTTTGCCTCCGCTTTACAGAACTTTACAGATTATATCGGAACCAAGATTTTATTACCTGTTCTTCAGTTTTTGTTTGGCACTGTAAATAATTTGTAAATAGAATATGTGATATATATTGTTTTATACTTTCATGGTCACTAACATTATAGTAATTTTTGTTATTAGCGGGATTGCAACCATGTATATGGTTTTTTGGCGAGTCCACGATATTGCGGCATTGTTGAAAGCGCCATGATCGCAGAGTAAATGAAGTAATACATGTAAACCGAAAACCTGGTTAAACGACTGGAATAACATAACTTGGCTCTCAGCATCCTTTATACATAAAGACAAGCACACACACGCACGCATGCCTGCACACACACACTCAATCCCACACTATTATAATTACATAGGTAGTTCCAAAGATAATTTTCAGTATTCTGTAATTTTACTAATTCATCTGTTGCAGTCTTGTTAACATTCATTGGGTGCCCAAGATACAGGACCTCCTATTGTGGGACCCAAGGTTATAAGCTGACTGTATGATGTAAATGTATTTTAATAAATATATTTGTATTTGTAATAAAATTGCGGGTAGGGTGTTATTGGAAGACATTTGGCGAAGTCTTTTATTGCGCTCGATACTCGTACCACTGTTCACGTTCTCACTATTTATTCACTGGTGTTGAACTCGATCCAGTTCTTGGGACTGACACTCGATATATTAAACCCGTCCGCACGATAGAAATTCTTATGTTTTGTTATTTCGTCTCATTTCCCTGACCAATCTTGGTATGTAGGAGCTTTCCGTCGAAATTATTTGAGGGTTATCGATCCGGTTGCTGGGGACCAGAATCTATCAAATGTTCCGCGATTGCTGATTTTTCAGCCATTGCGGTTTATAGTGCGACCGGCAGCGACGCAGCGAGCATTTTCAGGTTGAAGCAGTATTGACAAGACCCGATAAGCACTTTTGCTCATTATACCACAATGACTGTCGCAAAAATAACATTTTGTGGTAAAAAGTAACGCCCTGTTGCATTTGCAGTCGGTAGCACCCACCGATGCGCACTGGGCCTGCACGGCGATGCATGACCCATTGTCTCTATTCGATCCATAGAAAAGGCCTGTGCCTCAGCAGTGGAGACATTAATTGGCTGATCTGTTGTTGACGAAATCAAAGTTGAGACCATTTTTATCTGTTGTTGAAATAGATATTAATTTTAACATCCAAATGTGTTACAAAGCTTATGCATCATTTAAATTTAGCTGTCCCTAAGCCGAGGAGATGTGACACCAATTGTTGCGGCAAATTGGCTGTCGGCAATGTGGACGCCGAAATGGGGTTAAATTGCTTACTTTCGGCGCGTCTTGGGTCAACTCTAAACAGTGCGTCCTTAAGAGTTTGTCGTGGTTATTCCAACGAATTTGGTTAATTAACTGTGACCTTTGTGCTATCGGAGGTCATTGGGCTTTTAATGATAAAAAATTGTGAGGAGAACAAGGAGCTTTTATGTACTTATACTTTGTATTTATGTTTACAGCGCCTTTTTTATTTCGGCGGAATGCTTTGATTTTTTTATATTTAGGAATAATATAGTAACTGTTGCTATTGCGTCGATTTCTTATAAGAAGCTCTTTAATGTTGAATAAGCTTGCTTTTTAAGTTGTCATACTGTAGAGGGCACTGGTAATATATTATCACTAGAGGAACATAAGTTCAACTGTCCTGTTCGATTGAAATATAAATAGTCCTAGAACCCGACTACGGGATTCTACTACCCGTCCACCTACCGGGTTCAATTGTTATTCAAATAAACAATCCAATTCCTGTAGTATGAGCACCACAATTACCATTAGATCACGTTTTTTATCGCGTCTAACTGTCAAACCCCATAGTAATTTGAAAGTAGAGCGTGATAAAAACGCGTTATCTGCTCCCTAGCAGATACATGCCCCCCTGGGCATGTATCCCTAATCGGTACAGCCGTTTAAGAGGAGTTCAAATACATATACACGTACAGAAGATATACCAGTATATATTTCTTATCTATATTTTTTTACCTATCCTATTTCCCCTAGCGCATAAGTACAAAAAAACGTTAATAAGTATAGAATGCCTTCCAATAATTGGAATCACTTCGCAATAAGTTATCTTATCCGAATACACATGGTTATTTGCAGCACAAATATAGGTTGCAAGTTAAAGGGGAAGTCCATGTTTTTAGAAGTGTTATGTGTAGGGTTCCCTTCGAATAGTTGAGTTTAAACATCAATAAAGGTAGCAAGTTATTTAATTTTCAAAATATTAATTGCTTGGTCATTAACCAAAATCCATAAAGTTAATGCAATATCCATAAGTTTTTTGAAGTGTAAACTTCTTTAGCGACGTTGTACACTTTTTTGTATGGGTAAAGAATGTTAAACTCGCGTCAGCCAGGACACGTGGCGTAAGACGAAAACAATAAAATTGGAAAGGTTGTTGACTTTCAATATATTGGTCGAAACATAGTTATATTTTATTTTATCGTATTATAATAATAAGTCTCTAACTAGGACGTCCAGGTGGCAGCTTTATTGCGAGGAAAATGCATATTTTTTACAATAGATGTCACTAGGTGCGCTTAAATGTGATTCATGTAAGTTGATTTTTCTGAGAGATAAACTTTTTAATGTAATATAAATTGTCATGTTTGTGTACGATAGAGCAATAAATACATATTTTATTCTACCACATAAATGATAGTAATTTTATACTGATAATTAAAGTAATTCGTGCAAAATTATTGCCTAATCATTCCAAAATATCAAAAATTCATAAAGTTAATATTCAAGTTTTCACTTCTGCCAGCACTCCCGGAGTGCAACCCGTCGTTTTTTTTCTTCATAAAACTAAATAGCTATACTACACATTTTATAATTGCGAAGTATGTATGTGTATTATTTCACGAATACACTATATTTTTAGTTTGGATGAAATTTAGCACCTACGCATATGGATTGAGACATAGGATACTTTTTATTCTGGAAAATAGTTAGGTTCCATGTGAGATTCTCAAAATACTAAAGTTACTTACGGCCACCCGTGACTAAGTCCGCGTAGACTAAGTCACGGGCGGCCGCAAATTTCTCATAAATTATATATGGTTTGAATCGCTAGTTAATAGATAACAAGTCTCTACAAAACTATATAGGATAAACGATGAAAGAATGTTCTATATTTCGCTATAGTATCTGCAAGAAAATTTAAAGATATTTTTTACCAAATTTGTATTAATTGAGTATTTTTTAATAATACTTGTGGGCTCGCCAAACGTACCGATAAAATATAAAAAAAAAAGAATCTGCCGCTGCCGGGCAGCGTCACCTATCGACTACAGTTATATAAAGTTTTTTAATTTCCTGTGCAACTTTATTTTTTTTCTGTAAAGACCAACAAAGTACCTATTAGAAAACTTAGAAAAAAGATGAATGACATCAGTAAAGCTAGTCGTTCTCAAGTTATAGCGTGACCAAGGGAAAGAAGAAAACGTAAGAAATCAGCGAATGATCCCTTCACTGATTTCTTACGTTTTCTTCGTCTTTACGCTATGAGAAAATCCAAGAAACTTGTGCTTGCATACAGAACCCTTAGTGTATACAGTTCAAACTCTACCCTTCGGTTTAAATTCTTTCAATACGAAAGATAAGTCTCAACAAACAAACAATTTAAGTTGAACGTTGCCAGTTAGCAGTGTGGACTTGACGCAGCCGCCCAGCGCTCGTTATAATTATTTTGCTACTTCCAAAATTGTAATTTATTCTATATTTTTGCAAACGTGCATTAATTTTGTGTCGGTACCAAATTTTCTTATATTTTTATTATGCTTAACTGTCATGTTTAAGAATATATCCTGCAAGGGACTAATTTATTTTTGATTGAATCAATTATACAAACTGTTTTTAGCCTTTAAATTTAAAATGCATGAAATCCTGCTCATATTGGTAAAAACGTGGAAATATTTAATAAGGATACCTATATTATTGAGTCAGCGAACAGATTTTAACTAGTGAAGTTTCATTTAGCTTAGGTAAAAACAAAGGTTTTGTTCTCGGGCATGAGTAAAACATTATAAACCGTCCTCTTGAATCTGAAATTAAAACATGTCGCGTATTTTAAAAGATCTAAGCGTACAAACAGCGGGAGCGACTTTGTTTTTTACTATGTAAAGATATGTCTGGTAAGTAAACTAAAGGCACCTTATATTGTCCTCTAAATTAGTTTTAATTCCGGTCAACAGTAGATATTTCTCTATAGGGATTCCCAGAGTCCAGTGCCCTTAGGTCCAATGACCTAACGATAACATCCGCCGGTCTAGCCGAAATCATATCTTCAACTCTTCAGAGAGTCCTTCGGAACTGGTTACTTACTTCACGTGTATTCCGCGGCATACTACCAGCGTTTACTGACATCGACTCGGGTGATTGCCGTGAGCTTGTTTTGGTTTCAACCTATTGTATGCCCATTAGCTTCATTACAAGCTCGGGCGCGGCGGATGCTCGCCTGTCTTGAGTGCAAATTCTATTGAGATTTTATGTATATTTTCATTTTAATTAAACCAGTTTTTTAAGAATCTGTATGATACGTAATTTTAAACTCAACGATATGGTCAAGAGTATGGTGCCTCATTGAATATTTCCGTGTTGACTAATATGTAGTAATTATTTCTTAAAAATGTTTCGGTATGACATTAGTGCCAGTGCGATACGGCTAAGTGGGAACGAGTTGGTGAAATGGTTAAGCTGTCTTGTTTAAGTATAGACGTAGCTGAGGATGAAAAAGAGATGGCGTACGTTTTAAGTGTAAAGGTAAAGAACTTGAAAACATTTTTGCTTAACTTTTTTTACTGGTTAATTATTTTGAATCTGTTTTTTAGAATAGGGTATTTGACAGCATTAAAAATAAAGTGCCAATTGTTAGCATCTGTATTTAGTATGAATATTGGAAGGAGTTTTTACTATTTTTACGAAAAAAATATTCATAATTTTACTAAAAACCCACGATAAAGAAAATAGTTTTCTTGTCTTTTGTCACGTGACCCAAAACGCTTGGGATTGGTGGAGCCTAAAATGACGCCACACGCAAGTAAACTTCCGGTTAAAGTGACATTAGATTGTATGGTTTGCGGATTTAATGACAGTCGTGTGACGTCACACACCAGTGAGACGCCATATTGTTTAGAGAGAGATACCGTGTACGCGGCAACCTGAAAATAGAGTTTTTGATCTAGTTTTTTTATCGAAATACACAACATAATGATGAATATCCATTCTTTTTATGGACTCTATAAACATTACGTGAGATCGTTTTCTAAAACTTGTCAAATATCCTATTATTGCAAATATTAAAATATCCTCCTATTAATGTTACCTACTGGAGCCAAGATCTTTCTTAAAGATATACAGTATTGTAAGGCCCTAAAACACAAATCCAGTGCCGATTGGTGGGCGCTGACGACTACAGATGCAGCCGCAACTTCAGCAGCTTCCTCCTTCTAGATGCTCCTTTGCAGAGTACGGAGGATCAATGGGTAATGAATTTTGCCACTTTTCCGACAAACATCCTTAATGATTACTTACACAACTCTTGTAATAATTCGTAATCTATGTAGCATAAAAATCCTAAAAAATCATTAAATCGAATACGTTATTGGCCTGTGTAAGTCGTTATAAAAAGTTTCTTATCCAAATTTCCTAAACGTAAATCCCAATTGCTGAGTAACCGTAACCGTGATGTTGTTGATGTAGCTACCAGATTGTAGATAATTGATCGATAGTCACAACCAAGGTTCTTCGCATTTTTTCAGTATTCGCTATCTTTATACCGTTGACTGACGGCCGCTTATGTTAGTTTCTTTTTAAAGCCAAATATTTTTACGTCTAATGACTCGCCCTCGCTTTCCTTCGGTTTAGATTACAGAAATTTTTCTTCGGTGTAAAGATTATGCAATCTTTTCTGTAAATAGCATGTCATTCCGTTTAGTAGTTTTTAAAATATGTTTTATTAGCGGGTGCCCGCGACTTTGTCTGCGTGGTTGGTTTCCTATCCAAATTTCATGCTCCATTTCACTTCTTACAAAGTTTTATTTTCACGACCAAAAAGTCGCCTACAACCATCTCCAAGGCCCCATCTATCTATATGCTAAAATTCCATGTAATCGATTAAGTGGTTTAGGCGTAAAAGCGTATCAAACTAACACACTTTCGTGTTTTTATTATTAGTTTAAAAACCGATATTATTATCTTAAGAAAAGAGAATATGTTACGTTAGCGAGTTAAAATACAATAAATTTTTTACGTTTAGATTGGAGTATGTATATTGTTTATGATATCACATTTCACACTTATATAAAAGGCGAAAGGTTGTGAGTGTGTACGTTTGTTACTTCTTCACGGCTAAACGGCTGGAGCAATTTTAATAAAATTTGGTATGGAGTTAGCTGACACCTTGGATTAACACATAGGCTACGTTTTACTGCGGGAAAATATCCCTAATAAACCGCGGGTAACAGCGCGGGGCACAGCTAGTATGTTCACATATGTTCTTTATATTATAAACGGCCTAAACTTGAAGAGGAGCCAGTAACTGTGACTCACAATAATATCACAATGTGCCACTTTTAGCATTCAATAGTTATCCTTTACCGGCAGTGACTGTGTTTTGTGAACAATTTATTTCCCTATATACATTTGATAAATATATCCTATTCAATGCAGTGAAGGTGGCTCACCCAGCAAATAGTTTTAGGTTGCGTGGTTCCTATTATTTTTCTTGAGTGTATTTTCTTTTCTAAAATGACACACGGAATATTTTACAAGGTAAAGAACTATTATATTTTTTAATAGGTTGGCATAAGTTTTTTAAAGGTAGATAGATATTTAAATGCGATTGTAAATTCCCGATATAATATTGCATTAAGCTTAGCTTGATATATATTTTTTGTTTTTGTCGACCGGTGAAAAATTGTTTCAGACCAATTTTCTAGATTTTACATTATATTGCAACATGGTGATAAAAGTTTGCAAATTGGCATATAAAACTTTATCGCATCAGCGAGAAGTGGTTGTATGACTTATAATTGTACATATTTAATTAACGTTTTTCCGATACTATTACAAATAGAGGAAAAGGTTTCTTACTTTACGATCTTTAGTAGCAAAGTAATTATCAGATTGATTTAATGTAATTCTGGTGGCATCTTAGATTAAAACAAAAAAGCGGTTTTTGTTTTTATCTAAGGGTGGCATATGAACTTTTCGATATCGCCTGTCGTCTAGGCGATTAGATGGTTCATATGGCTCCATCATCCACGACATAAGCTTTTCAGCTACTAAGGTATTTTAATCGGAACATATGATGATCAACTTTCAGTAGTATCTTTTTTTAAAATAATTTACCCGCTTAATGCTAATCAGCCACGTCTAATATCGCGAAAAGTCTAATGAGAAGTAAGCCTAATTACCAAAATGTCCATGTAGCAAAACCTCCAACTCAGATGGTCTGTATAGCAGAACGTCTCTTTAGCAAATCTTCATATTCTCAAAAGGTATTCTGTATCTATCAACACATTTTTTTATAATAAATATTTTTCCTAAAGTTTATTAATGAGTTTTATTATCTGTCACATGAGTATACACATTTTAAAAATTACAATTTGCTTTTATAGACCATCTGTGAATTAGACGTTTTGCTACATGGACATTTTGCTAATTAGACTTACTGCTTATTAGACGTTTCGCGCTGTTGGACGTTTTGATCATGAAGCAACACTTGTACCGTTATCTGCCTTGATCCTATCCACTACCCCGTGGAGCCCTTGAACGTGATTGTTAATAAATCTCATGGATTGTCATGTAATTTATACAGGTTAATATGCTTCTGATTTCATGTAATACGGTTTTGAATAGAGAATAATAATTTATCAATACTCAATTTGAGCTATGAATGTAGAAATTTTAACAGTTAATTTTTAGTTATATTTTTGCATTTTTTAAGCATTTAACTGCTTGCTGTTTATATGTAAAGAAAATGTTGCTAGATAAAATTCACGGTAATTTTTAGTCGCCCATCAGAATTTTCAGTTCACAAAAGATGCTTTACCTGCGAAACAGCAAACGCCGCGCATGTACCATTAACCATTGTGCTACTGTTCTCAGCAGCCCAGCATGTCATGTTTTATCAATTTTGAATGATAGATACGGCAATAACAAGTACGTTGATTACGTGGTTACTCATGCATCAGTTATCACACTATAAAAATCATCTCTCTATTTTTGTTCAATGATTAACGATTTCAACTTACTCAGACGAAATAAATAATAATACTTTTGAGGTCGGTTCTAGTCCAGTAATAAGATTTTTAACTCCCTAATTTTCAATCTATGAATAATATACAACGCTGGGTATGACTTTTAATTTTATTTCTTTTTCTTTTCACGAATTCTTTATTAATAGAATAAATTATTTCCTCATTAATAAATTAGAATAAAACAGCAATCTGTTTGATTTTAATTTGGCCCTCATATTAATACAGGTTAATAACTCTTATTATACCTAACCTATACCTAATAAGGAAATTAGATAATGGTGTCGATTCTGACATGATTCTCTAAACTCAAAAAAACTAAATTTAAAATCAGTCTCTCCTTTTCATTCCGTATAGAGAATGACCAGGATACACTGTTGTAAAATTTAAGTTTAGCTTTAGAAAATCATGCCAGAATCGACACCAATGTTATATAATTTGACTATCGTAGTTAGGTACGGTTCGTTCAAGTTTGTGTTGTTTAATGAGGTCGTTGTTATTTGGCATTCTCAAATGTTAGGGGTTCGTTCGCGTCCACCCTTTAAAGTAGTTGATTTATACGGTGCAAAAGAAAAGGTTGTGGCTTATGCGCCGCAATATGAACTTTAAGTTTTTATTTTACTATATTATACTTGAAAGTGGTTATTTGATAACTATAAAGTTTATAACACTTACAGCTTCATAATTTTAAGGGGAAGAGATTGTAACTGTAACCTTTTTGATTCGCGAGGACAATGTAAGTAAAGAAGAAAAGTGGTAGTAAATACAAGTTACAGTCATTGCTTTTTAATTCCACGCCATTTATAAACAAGTGATGCCAATATTAGGGGAGATACGACCAAACATCTGTCAGTTTTCTTTTTAAATACCAATCATCTGTCAGTTTTATAGCGTCTATGGTCCACCTGACCAAACCTAATAAATGCAGCATCGATAAGAATGTGTGCCTAGTGTGAATCAGAGTAGGGTCAACTGCGAATACCCCCGAGCGTGAGGGAATTAAACTCTTTTTTTATTATTATTATATATAAAGGAACCGCTTCTTTATGGATTCCGCCAGAGTCACATTTTTGGCTCAATATCATGTAAACCATAACTTTGGGGTTACAAAGACCTCTATCTAGAACCAAGAATAGATGAACTGGATTGTACATTTTTCTTTACTTTTTACAGGATTCCTGCAGACTGGTCGGGGGTTCAAAGTTTTATGAAGTAATGGACGGTTCGGCGTCCGCTGATACATCTATACCATCACCAACGGAGAAGCACGACCATATGAAGCCAATTGAGAGTGATGATGAAGGTAATACAATAACCCAATTCTGAATCCAGTAAAAGCAATCAATATAAATAAATATTTCTAAAATTCACACCAAGCTCCAAATAGCCTAGCTCCAAAGTAAGCAATGTAAGGCTTGTGTTATGGGATAATAGAGTAACGGATAGAATACCTTTACTGATACATCTATAAGTATATTTTTATTTAGAAATACATATAAACATCCATGACTTAGGTACAATGGTCGTATTCATCGCCTCTGAGCCACTGAGGTCGTCAATATAAATTCGCCACTCCCATTTTGAAAGCAAAAGTATACATTGTAGTCATCGCGCGAGAGTTTCTTTGATTTGGCGTCTATAGTCTTTGATGACCCTTTACCATCGGGCACGCCATAGGCTTATTTACTGCTCCTTTGTGTATACAAAATCTATCGGTAACTCTTAAAATTAATAGGTCCTGTATATTTATATATGTAGGCTGGTTACTTATATCGGTTATCTGTCCATTGCATGTAATTTCGCGGTCGAGTATTAATATTGGGTACTGGTGCATATTCATTCACTTGATAATGTTTATATTTCTTTTTCATAATATTTGCTGAGTAGTGAGGCTTATTGCAAAAATTTGTCACGAAGTCCATTGTTTAGAAATCAATACGTTCGCTCCTCTGTAGTAAATTTGAGGATGACACAATCTTTTGTTAAATATGTGATTTATCGTTTAGTAAACCATGTTTATTTTTGAAAGGGTGTTTAGTTTGATTGTAAGTATTTGAATGAGCTTTTGAACTAAATGACAGTATCTAACGTACCTAATAGTGTTGAAAAATCCCTAAAACAATTCATTGCAATATAAGACATTGCACTTACAAAACTCATCAATGAATAGGATAATAATTATTTTCCTTAGTGTGTCTGTAATGATTTCTAACTATGGGAAAAAACATTATGCTTATTATTCTTAATAAGTGTAAACAGTTTAAAATTACACTTTTTGAACTATTGAATTGTCGGATTCCAAGAGGTATTTTTTCTGATGTTTATAATAATAATAATTTTGTTATATCAATGTGATGGGTGATTGGATTTAATTATACTTTAGTAAATTATATTATAAATAAAACAATCGCAAACATATTAAATCACAGATTTTACTGTGGTCTGCTGAACACTACCTTTTGGTGGTGTTGTGTTTTTACTGGTGAATGGGGTTCCAGGGGACTGGGTTTAGGCTGGCAAGGTGAGGATGCCTAACTCAAATAAGACCACACGCCCCGATCTGGGCGAGCTCGAAAAATACACCGCACGGTCAAGAACCGCACGCCCCGATCGGGGCGCGCTACCCACGGGACTACAAGCCGTTTTTTGTGTTGGTTAGAGTCTACTTTTGTATGAAGAAGTTTAACCATAGATTAACTTGGCGAAATGACCTATCTCTAGAGCCATAAAGTTTTCACCTACTCCGTGTAGTTTTTTTTTCGCGTCATTGAATAGTGAATTTTTTTTTGGTCGAATTGAGGTTACGTGTATGTAATTTACCTTTTTTATCATGGTAAGTGCTTAATTTTATAGGAAAAGTGTTATAAAGTGTGTTATTCTGCTTACAATATACCTTTATAGATAATTGGTTGTGTATAATACTTTTTAATAATAATGCTTTTCAAGTTCAATACTGACAAACTTTCTTAGCTTATTTCAAAGTTATTTGTGATGATTGAGTTTCGGTAATACAAATAAGTGTTAACAATAAGCAATTGTAACTCGTTTACAGTTAGTTTTTACATCGCTAACAACTCAGACCAAATAATAACGTTATGAAATAACGTTATTACATTTTTCTAATATTGGGGTATTATAAATGACTATGGTAACACTGGCTAATTCACTACATACATAAAAAACCGGCTTCACTTTGTTGTTGGCAGAACTCCGTCTTTACTTTTTATTTGGTCTGAGGCTAACAATAAATTATTGTTAGTAACTCCTCATAAAGATAAGGGAATTCCTGTGTACAAAGATCAAAAATGGGTTATCGTCTATCAATTCCTAGCAAGCCATTTTGACTCTTTATTTGTACGGTGCTACGGGCGTAACCTACTTGCAGTCGATTTGAACCTCTGCTAGCGTATTGAATAGATACGGAACGTATCGATAGTCTCGAGATAAAAATAATGAATTGTCGATAGATCGACTATTGTGGTGGTGGCATTTTATGACGAGTTTATGTTTAGTAAATTTATTGTTACTGTTTTAGAGTGGTAGTTTTACATATAACAAAATAAAATAAATTCATGCTGGAAATATGGTGAAAATGGCTTAGTAAATAGTGGTTTTCTTTTTTTTTGTCTTTTGGACGAAGACATACTATTGTCTTCGTGGCGCTAAGACCAGGATCCACCCGCCGATTTTTTATTCCTGCTCTATGAAGATAAGGAGGGCGAGGAGCAGCAAATGAATGATGCAGCAGAAGATACTTTCAATTTAGCAATATATTCAAAGTTCGTTTTGAGTATTGTATCAATAAAAAGAAAGAGAGAACAAACTTTATTATTTCTATTGATATAAATTATTCTACGGTTTCGGGTATATTACCAATAAAAAATACCTAAAGAACGTGAACACATTTTTTTTCCACTGTGTATGGTTGTTTTATTTTTAGCTATATTTATCCATATCCTGGTTGATAATAGGTATAATAACACTGTAAATAAAAATCAATTATAAACAGTACCAAATGCGTTTTTATTTATAACAGAACAAATATCGATAAATCTATAAAAGTGAAGGCACGGCAAGATAACATCCCTACTTTGTTTTTTGTTGGTTGGGTCGGGTCGGAGTCGGGTTTCAAGTGCTGTTTTTGTTATCAACAATGGGGTGCTAGCTTTACAGCTGTCGTTAAGTTTGTATCGCACTTACTAGTCGTTGGAAAGTACAGTAACTGAATTATGGGCTACATAACTTGTTACTATCTCGTTCGTCAGTGTCTGATATTATTATATCAAGACTGCGCGGCGCGATGTATAGCGGCGTGAGTTTTCTGAACATCGCCGACCCTAAATACGAGGGTGATATCCAGCGCATCATGAAGGAGCTTAGGTCTGTCCATTTTCTCATCAATCTGTTTTCTTCTCTTATTTCCTGTATGTTTTCACAAAATCACGCAACTGCGCCGGAAACTGTAACTTGTACAAGCCTATTCTTCTAAAGCGATATATCCAGAAGATAGGTATCCTAAGCTTTTTTGAATAGAATTACTGTGGGGAATTATACATTTGTAACGAATCCCAATACATAACGATTATATAACTCGTGTCATTAAAAAAGGAATTGAAAATGCCTACGCAAGACATTCTGTCTCTCTCGCATGTTACTGAGAAAAGCATGTGCGAAAGGGACAGAATGTCTTACGTCGTCATTTGCGAATCCATGCTTTAATGACGCGAGTTATACCTTTTGGTTTAACAAAACCTTCAGGATCATTATTATTAGGTACTTGACCGCGACTTTTGTTTAAGACGCAAGTAGGATACTAGTCGTAAAGTATAGCTAGAGCAAAACCACAGACAAATAAACTTGCGCAGTAAACGCTTTTGTACGTTAAATTGCTACTGCGTAGGCTTCCTTGTCTCAGGCCGTTGCTTAAGAAGTTTGCTGGGGTGTATATCGTAACATAAGTATGGGCTAACTGTAATGATCTCATTCGTCAGTGTCGGATGTAGATCAAGAGTGCACGGTGTTCAGCGGCGTGAGCTACCTGGGCGCGCAGAACATCGCTGACCCCAAGTCCGAGGGCGACATACAGCGCATCATGAAGGAGCTCAGCTCCATGCCCGAGAGTCGCGACGGCATTGCCGTGTCGATATCCATCCCCGTCTGTTCGCAGGGATTGGTCGTGTGAGTATACCCGTAACATAGTATACCATTGTAGATACACTTTAGTTACATTTACTACTACCATTTTAGTTACACTTAATATAAATAACTCTATTTGTATTTATACTGTATGACACAGCAATCAAAAAGCAGGTAAACAATTAAATGTATATTCAATCATTATGTAATGAAAGGTGACTTCATGAATCATCTCTGAAGTTATTTTTCAATTTGACGACTCTGTTAATAATAAAACAGGGACAAAAAAACAGCCCCTGCTGAGTTTCTCGCCGGTTCTTATCAGTAGAAGGTCTCCCGCCGTAGATTTATGAACCGATGACGTAGCTTCTAGAGACATTCATGAGTGCTTGTAACAGCCTAAACTGAATAAATGATTGTTATGATTAGATACAAATGTTCTTCAAATCAAATATCTCTTTAAGCTTACTCTTGAAACCAATCCCGATCGATCGACATTGGTATTGTGATGTTTCGTACTCTTGAGTTGCAACACTAGCGCCAAATTTGACTCATATTGCACGGAGATTGGTTAAACTAAATGGCATTGAGTTTTACTTGAATCCGTACTCTTGACGCTATTTTTACAGCTGTAATTGCGATTGTATTGCGTTATAATTGGTTGAAGATTGAGTTTTTACAATAGCAAAAGAGGTACTGTGTGTGTATTGAGTTCGAGTATTTTAAGTTAAAACTAGCATTTTGTGTGAGTAATGGCGCGATTAGCTCTTCTCTTCGTTATTTTAATAACTAATAGTAATACTATTAATGATATGTTGCAAACTTACGTTCGTCAACCCAGTTATGTAAGATTAAGCGTGTTTCACTATTGAAAGATAGATTATTCTCCGATCCAGATACAATTATATTAACGGGCATGTGCTCCATAGGTTATATCAAGCGGACTCGAACAGCGTAATGACTCGGTACGCGGTCAACCGCATATCGTTCTACGCTCGTGGTGCGGCTGGTTCCCCCGTGGCTTCCTGCTTTGCGTTCACCTGGTCTCACGGTGAGACCAAAGAGTCCGCCGTATACCGCTGCCATGTCTTCAGGTGCCACATTGCTGAGGCTGTCAACCAAGTGTCGAGTAAGTGTGATGACCGTATATCGCTTCCTCGTGGCATCCTACTTCGCTTTTACGTGGTCCCACGGCGAGACCAAAGAGTCCGCCGTATACCGCTGCCATGTCTTCAGGTGCCACATCGCTGAGGCTGTCAACCAAGTGTCGAGTAAGTGTGATGACCGTATATCGCTTCCTCGTGGCATCCTACTTCGCTTTCACGTGGTCCTACGGCGAGATCAAAGAGTCCGCCGTGTACCGCTGCCATGTCTTCAGGTGCCACATCGCTGAGGCCGTCAACCAAGTGTCGAGTAAGTGCGATGACCGTATATCGCTCCCTCGTGGCATCCTACTTCGCTTTCACGTGGTCCTACAGCGAGACCAAAGAGTCCTGTGTTTACCACTGCCATGTCTTCAGGTGCCACATCGCTGAGGCCGTCAACCAAGTGTCTAGTAAGTGTGATGACGGTATATCGCTCCACCGTGGCATCCTGCTTCGCGTTCACGTAGTCCCACGGCGATACCAATGAGTCCGCCGTGTACCGCTGCCATATCTTCAGGTGCCACATCGCTGAGGCCGTCAACCAAGTGTCTAGTAAGTGTGATGACGGTATATCGCTCCACCGTGGTATCCTACTTCGCGTTCACGTAGTCCCACGGCGATACCAATGAGTCCGCCGTGTACCGCTGCCATGTCTTCAGGTGCCACATCGCTGAGGCCGTCAACCAAGTGTCGAGTAAGTGTGTTGACGGTATATCGCTCCCTCGAGGCATCCTGCTTCGCTTTCACGTGGTCCCACGGCGAGACCAAAGAGTACGCCGTGTACCGCTGCCATGTTTTCTGGTGCCACATCGCTGAGGCCGTCAACCAAGTGTCTAGTAAGTGTGATGACGGTATATCGCTCCACCGTGGCATCCTGCTTTGCGTCCATGTGGTCTAACGGTGAGACCAAAGAGTCCACCGTGTATCGCTGCCATGTCTCCAGATGCCATGTTAACATCTTTCGCCTTTACGGTGTATATAAACAACGGGTATATTGAAAGTACCCAAAAAAGTTTACTTCCCCGAAAGCTGCTAGTACTTATAGATCGTCTATGTCAACGTTGTTAATAATTCTTTATTACCTATTGATTTAGATAACGGCCGGTCGATACAGAAGACAGTCTATTGTTAGTCTTAACCGGTCGATGGACGGGCGTCTACGGTTAATTATTTAAATGCGATGTGTGTTGATATATAAAATGAAATCAAGGCATAAGTAGATACATATTTTCTCATTGCGACCGTCTGTCGGGCAACGTACTTAGGAATTACGAAATAAATGCTTCGAGGCATTTGGCTTGTCTTTTTTTAAAATTTTCTATAACTATGGATCTCATTTCGCCGTGACGTGGCGTCACTAAGCGCGTTCTATCGTTTGTACCACGGCGAGTGTTCTGAGGAGTTATTCTCTCTTATCCCACCTTCCCCTTTCCTTCAGAGGACCACGCGCGCTGGCCTACGTTGTCACCGTTTTACTGTGGCCACAATTCCAACGCGTACAAAGAAATTTGGTGACTCATTTCTTTGTCGCACTATCCGTAAATGGAATGCTCTGCCCGCTCACGTGTTCCCTCCCTCTTACAACCTGGGATCCTTTAAAAGAGGCGTGAAGAAGCAACATGCAGGCCGGCAGGGTGAGGATGGCTGGTGTGGCAGGTAGAACTGCTGTATCAGCTATCTTCGCGTCTGGACTTCACCTTCACTTAACATCAGGTGGGGTGGAGTCATTTGTCGGACCTAACTATAAAAAAAAAAAAAAAAAAAATTTACCACTAGCCCATTGTTTGTAGAGTAAATGTAAACAAAATAAACACATCTTGGTAACTATAAAAATAGCTCGAATGTGGTAGCAAATGATCAAGACTATTACTTACCGTAAAAAAGATACATATTAAGATATTTAATGTCGCCTTTTACCTATGCACCTAATGATAAAACGAGACAATTGTGTCGATTCTGGTATTATTCTATAAAACCAAAATTAAATTTGACAACAGTCCTTGTCATTCTCTACATGTGTCAGAATCGCACCAATGATAAACTATAACACGCAAAGTTATTTGTGACCATTTACATGGATTGAAAACATGAGTAAAATACTTAACCATTTACTTATTTAACGAGATTACAAAAGTGCGGATTTATGATGTTGCCTTTAGAGCAACAAACTTGAAATTGACACAACTGCATTTTTTTTAAAGTTAGTATTAATTAATAAATGATAATTTTTATTTCGTTTAAAGTTATTCACATAATATAAATAAACACGCAAAAGTAATCAGCTATTGATTTGGCCTGTAAACTTACGTAAGTTTGTACGTGATATAATTATATCGAATAACATTTATTGAGCTAGCTACGTACGTGGCCTCAGCACCAATGGACGTTATATTAACTGCTCATGATGTGCTCAAATTGATTCATCACACTTATCGATGCAGATGTTTGTCCCGCCAATTGTTATAATTCAGTGCGCGCGCGCGGCAACTTGTCTAAATAAATAAGTTCTAGTCAGGACAAAGGATTGATGTGGTCAGTTAGTTTTGTTTTCTTGAGGAGCAAATTTAAAATATATTAATGAAAATTCTATTTGAACAGTGTCAGTGATAAATTTTAATGGAAATTATTAATAATTTATGTTCCTCTTGGGCTCACTAAACATCTTATCCAAGGTAAATTATATTATTTATAATATAATAATTCTTTATACTTAATACACAGAATTCTAATACAGTGCACTTAATTTGATAGAATTGCAAGTAAACAAATAAAAAATATAAAAATAAAATAGTTTTGTATAGAAATTGAAATACTATTTTACGCGATAATATGACTACTCCTACACTACGATACTTGCGAATATGAATAAAATAAAATTTTAAATTATCAATATCTTATTCAAAATATTATTAACTTAGTTTTATGAATATTTAGGTGTAAATTATTACATGGTGAGCTGGTCTTTATTCTATTGTTTCTAAATAATTTTATTTAAATACTAGTGTGCAAAGCTTGCCCTTTTGTTTTATAAATAAATTAAATAAATAATCAATAAACATAGAAATAATTTACACTCTAAATTAATCTACAAGGGAAATGGTGATCTTTGACGTTAAAATTTCTGTCTAAATAACTGAAAACCTGCGATTAGCTTTGAATAAATGCGCGCAACCCAAATTACTAATTGGAACGTCAAGTTGCCGTAGGTACATGAAACAAACATATATAAACTTTATCATAATGATCCAGCCAGTGTTTATTTTTTCTCATTTGCTGCTAGTTGATTAGTATGGATCTACTCTTTATATTTAGTCAATTTAAAAAAATAAAAATTGATAAGTTCGATTTATAAGTGGTCTGTAATAAATAAAGGCAAAAAAATCTGTGCTAAAAAGTTGAAGAAGTAGGGTATGTGTATTGTTTAATTTAATCAATTACTATCGATTCCTGTTTTTCAATGATCGGTAGACCAGCATATACCTTCCATCAGTAATATCCATTTCTTATGTTTTCTTTTTAATCTGAAAATGCGAAGTTTTATTAAAGTATGCATTTAATGGAATATTCTATGTTCACTCCAATCTGTGTCAGGTCATGGGGAGAGATAAGCGGGATTGTTGTTAATGTTCTAATTGCTCAAACATACGCCCACTCGGAGCAAGTGTGTTTATTGCCTTTTTTCCTTTTTTGTCCTTCAAACATTCAATAGTTGCCTATCGGTTTTTAAGCGGGGTTCATTTTTATAGTATACCTACTTATAACTATCTTGAAATCGTTCTGACTAGCCCTCGTTTCGATTTAGACTTTCAGTTTTTTTTTGGGCATACTTTTTACTTAATTATTAAATAACCGAGAAAAATCATCACGCTTAAAAAAGCCATTAAGTAGTTTTTCTGGTCATTGCGAACTTGTAATTCATTAAGAAGTTCTTATCGATGCGTTGCTAGACAAACACTGCAAAATCCCTCAATCTCAATTTTTATTATATTTATATTTCTAGGATTTAGCCTGCAATGGCGCCTTATTGTCCACTATGACAAAGACTGCTAGAAGATATTTGTTCAATTTAACTTTTTTTCTACAGGTTGTTTCGCGAAAGCCTTCGAGCGCGTGCCACGGTCTATGGCCTCCTCAATAGTGGGTGAGTTGAGCGCAGCTCCGTCTATGACCGGCTCGCTCACTGAGGGCTTGGGGCCGGCAGCGCCACCCATGCAACTAATGCATGTTCTAGAATGCACGGTGGACATCAAAGAGACGGATGCTAAGGTGAGATAATGATAGTGGAGTACAATTTTTGTATTTTACTAGCTGTGCCCCGCGGTGTTACCCGCGCTTTATTAGAGATATTTTCCCGCAGTAAAACGTAGCCTATGTGTTTATCCAGGGTGTCAGCTAACTCCATACCAAATTTTATTAAAATCGCTCCAGCCGTTTACACTTGAAGAAGTAACAAACATACACACTCACACACTTACAAACTTTCGCCTTTATAATATAAGTGTGATTAATCAAACTGCATGTGAGTTTCCCGTACCCTTCGAAGTTAAAGCAAGTAAGCTAAAAAGTAATTAAATTGTTTGCAATAATACGATCAACTTATATTTAAAGAAAAGTTTACTAGAAAAAAATCCACGCGGACCAGGCAGCGGACGGGACTCGAACCCGCATCCTTCGCTATCCGGGCGAATGCACTGACCATTATGCTACCACGGCCCTATTAGCCGCGTCGAAATTTTCCTAGCCTTAAGCTGCAAGGCAGCGTCATCTCTTCGCATTGTAGGAAAATTTCGACGCTGCTAATAGGGCCGTGGTAGCATATTGGTCAGTGCATGGGTTCGAGTCCCGTCCGCTGCCTGGTCCGCGTGGATTTTTTTTCTAGTAAACTTTTCTTTAGATTTAAACATCTAGCAGTTAAATGCTTAAAAAATTAATAAAATCATAACTATAATTGCTATTTCTTCTTTCAAATGTTTAATACTTGAAAAAGTATTCATTTGACATTGTGGAGGAAAATTTCGACGCGGCTAATAGGGCCGTGGTAGCATAATGGTCAGTGCATTCGCCCGGATAGCGAAGGATGCGGGTTCGAGTCCCGTCCGCTGCCTGGTCCGCGTGGATTTTATTTTTATTTTCTAGTAAACTTTTCTTTAGATTTAAACATCTAGCAGTTAAATGCTTAAAAAATAAATAAAATCACAACTTATATTGATATATATATATATATGTTTAGAAACACTTTTAAGCTTACATAAGGACTGGAGGAGAAAGTTATTTTTTCTATTTTCCAAAACTCAAATAAAAGAGATCGCAGAAGGTGTTACATTTTGTCAAATGGATCCCAACAAGTTTCAACAGGTTTGATAAACTGATTTTATTTATTTATAGATTGTATTACGAAGGTAGCTCGACAAAGTAAATAGAAAATCATTATTTTGACGAAGCAATCCTGCAAAGGTTGCGAAACGTCAATAAATAAATAAAATCAGTGCATCTAACCTGTTGAATGTTTGTTTTATTTAATGAGTGATTTGCGTGAAAACCCAAGAAACAAATAAATAGATCTCATTTCAAAGCAAATATCTATATATATAAAACTCAAAGGTGACTGACTGACATAGTGATCTATCAACGCACATCCCAAACCACTGGATGGATCGGGCTGAAATTTGACATACAGGTAGATGTTATGACGTGGCATCCGCTAAGAAAGGATTTTGATCAATTCTACCCCAAGGGGTTAAAATAGGGAATGAAAGTTTGTATGAAACTTTGTCAATTTTGAACCGATCGGGCTGAAGACTTTGCATGCAGGTATAAGAAGAATCATAGATGAATGTCATTGTGTATAATACAAGCCTGAGAACAGAAACTGTATTCTACACTTCAGCTCTACACCGAAGCGAAGCGAGGGCGGGCCGCTAGTTACATATAAATGTTAACATGTCAAGTTACATTTTAATTGATAAATTATGCTTTTGCAATACTATTTATACTTCGTTGTTTATTTATACTGCTTCCGTGCTTCCAGGGTACTTTCAGTCATGTGCCGAAGGAAAGACTTGGTTTCAAGTTACGTGCGGGTATAGACAAACAAGTGACAATCAACGTGAGGCAAGTTACCAACAATGTACAGCCAGAAACTGAAGATCAACAGGTAAGATAATGATCCAATAATAAATACCTTTCGTATAATAGAAACAATAAACTCAAACCATGTCTTAAATGATAAAACTCCTGGAAGTTGATTTAGTTGAGAGGACTCAATTAGGCATTTGTCTTTCTGTAAATTGCTCTAACTGGATAGACTTGGTGGATTGTGGGTTACTTACGAATAAATAACTTGAATAAGCATAATTATGTATGTGCCTGTGATTAAAGTGTACTTCTTTTAAAGTTAGTTACCTGGATGTAGTGAAATTGTAATCATCGACACTTCTTGACTAACTATTATCCTTGTTTTGTTTGACTAACTATATATTCATCCTTGTAATGTTTATCATCTTTTTTGTCCATATAAGTTGACATACACCGGGGGATTATTCATAGAAAGATGCTTCGGTATCCTACTTGCTCCCGGCCGCAGCGTGAAGCATTCAGACATGAGGCTCCTTGAAATGGTAAATATTATTCCTTATAACGCAAATACTGTACCTAAAATATATGTATTAGAAAACGTTTACTGATTTCTACTTTAAAAAGTAAATAAGGTGATGTTTAGTGTATTGTGTACTGGAGCCCACAGAAATGGAATTGTACTAGAGAGATTCAATAGTCACTTTGGTGGATCTTGGCAATTCTCTAAAGAGGTGATATATTTTTTTATTAGGTCAGTGGTTCAGCGGGCGGATCGAGTTGTTCTGTATGCGCATTGTGGAATGCTGGCGAATCTGCCTTAGCAGCATTCAATGCGGCGAGCGGAGATATCGCCCCCACCTACATGTCGCTAGCGCTGGACCTCGTCATCAGAGGCGTGCCGGATTCACTGAGGTCAGTGTCCATCATTGATTCAAGTGCTGTGTTTCAACGCGGGCGAGCGGAGATATCGGCCTCGCTCACATGTCGCTAGCGCTCGACCTCGTCATCAGGGGCGTGCCGGATTCACTGAGGTCAGTGTCCATCATTGATTCAAGTGCTGTGTCTCAACGCGGGCGAGCGGAGATATCGCCCTCACCTACATGTCGCTAGCGCTGGACCTCGTCATTAGGGGCGTGCCGGATTCACTGAGGTCAGTGTCCATCATTGATTCAAGTGCTGTATCTCAACGCGGGCGAGTGGAGATATCGCCCCCATCTACATGTCGCTAGCGCTCGACCTCGTCATCAGGGGCGTGCCGGGGTCACTGAGGTCAGTGTCCATCAATGATTCAAGTGCTGTATCTCAACGCGGGCGAGTACGGTCTGTAGGCCTATTTGCTAACTGCTTTTGACAGATGAAAGTGATGATTACCGGAACTATGCAGTGATCCACTTCTGCTTTATTATAACATAGTAGGATACTTGTTCGATGGATATGCAATTTTGCGTCACACACTGTAAATGTCAAAAGAGATAGCGAATAGGCCCGGTGGCCGCGTTTAATGCGGCGAGCGAAGAAATCGCCTCCACTTCCATTGTTACTGTGCAGCAAAAACAACAAGTTACCCTAGTGTCATGTCATGTGTTTATGAACTTTATCAAGCACGATAAAGTTCATAAACACTGAAAAACAAATCAGTTTTGGATAAGTAGACTGGCTATCTGTACAATTTTCCATACAACATATACCTACATTTATGTATACCAAAAGAGGGCTTTTAAAAGTTTGTCTGTTCTTTTTCGACGCGCCGCTAAAACATTTCAAGAGGGTTAAAATAATTTCAAACCATTGTTTCAGATTAGTGATAGAGACACCAGTGAAGATGTATCCACACACGGAGCGGTTTTGGTACTACTCCAAAAAGCCGCTAGTACAAGAGTTTTACATAAATCTAAAAGAGGTGAGCTTCAGAAATATTTACAATCATTCCGTAAATAATAGAGTTCCTTTAATGCGCCTGTAGGAGCTTACGGGAGTCATACGATTCATGTGTGGAAAACTAGCAACAATCTATAATTTTTTATCATAAGTGGTTATTTACATGTAACTCATGTCATTAAAGGAAGGAATCGAGAATACCGACGCAAGACATTCTGTCTCTCTCGCTCGTTACTTAGGACAGCATGTGCGAAAGGGACAGAATGTCTTACGTCGTCATTTGCGATTCCTTTCTATAATGACTATAGTTATATATGTATTAATTTTTTCTATTGGAAATACACTTTTCTTTTTTCAGTCTGTAGATGCAATCGGGCAGTTGCAATACGAAGTGGCCAGTATAGAAACCTCCGGCGAGTTGGATCGTACGCGATTGAACTTGCCGCTGTCTCTTTCTAGTCTATTGCCGTCGCCGCTAGCCAGTGCGCCTGCGCCGCCTTCGCCTTCCGAACCGGATTCCGGTGAGTGTTACTATACTTCTATACTAATATTATAAAGATTTCATTGTTTAATTGAAGGATAGATATAGGCCAATGGTAAGGGGGAGAAACTTTTAACAGCAAAGCAATGGTGAATTCGTACCGAATTCACGAGTCCTAAATTACGCAACAAAATTTTCACTATTAGTTCGACATATTTTTATTGCAGGTTTATACATATAATATGTAGATAGCTTGAGAACAAAAACTATACCGAAGCGAAGCGAGTGCGAGCTCCTAGTAAACCGATAAATTATATGACTGAAAGGGAAATTGGAACGTTATAATGCGGGGATGGCCTTCCCTATGGCTGGGGTAGAGAGAATAGTCGACCGACGACCCAACAGTCCCCATTGCGGATTTTTGGGTGCATCCGGGATCAACAGCTTAACGTACCTTTCGAAGCTCGAGATATTAGAAATATTTTTCTACTTGTCCACACCCCCCATAGGTTGCCTGAAAGTGATTGCTGCTTAGCAATAAAGCTGCGTATAGTACTTTATTTCTTCCTTTCATTAGGGCAGTGTAATTTTTGTCTCTTTTGTCCTTGTAGTAGTTGTATAAGAACATTATTATTGTTTAGATGGTGACGAACCACTTCTGAGCGGTACAGGAGAGGTATCCAAAGACTGCGAAGAAGACGTGTTGGTCAACTGGGCTCAAGTCCTTAGAAGGTATTGCTTTTAAAATACTAAACTTTGTCCGCGACACCGTTCGCGTGGAGTTAGGAACTTAAGATGTTTCGAGGGAATCAGAAACAGTGTCCCGTCGATCGGCTTTTGAGATTGCCACAGGAAACTTTGTAGTGTGATCTGCACCAAGTTCGATTATCTATTACAGCTTTTATGGCATTCAAATGATGAATGATTTTAATTCACTAAATGGATAAAAATAAGCTATTTCACGTAGAGTATTTCCCTAAAGTACGTGCGCATAGTTGCGCTGCGCTTGATGCTAATTTCACAACAATATAGCAGCATAAAATCGCATTCTAAGGTCTATATTCAATCAATCAAACAAATCAAAGAACCATCTTGAGATGCTGTTTTTTGTGAAACCCGTATTTTTTTAATTTATTTTAAGGACAATCAGTAACAGTTACAATACAATAAGCTAATGAGAAGAATTATATTAAAGTGGAACTAAGAGCAGTGTTTTTAGTTGCCACAGCGTGCTTGTCTCAAGAGCTAAGAGCGATCTATTAATACGGGCCTTAATGAAACAACACGTATGTTTGTTACAGTTGGACCGGCCCCAGACCGCGCGCGTTAGTGCATTTGGTGCGGGTCGGAGTACCGGAAGCTTTACGCGGTGAAGTGTGGCTGCGGTTGGCCGGCATCGACCAGAACGATAAGCTGATGGAGACCTACAGAACGCTCATTAGTAAAGTGAGTACGAATCGGGGAACGATATATTTGTTACATTGGACAGGGTCCAGACCGCATGCGTAAGTACATTTGGTTCGCGTCTGAGTGCCGGAAGCTTTCCGCGGTAAAATGTGACTGCGCTTGGCCCGCATCGACCAGAACGATAAGTTGATGGAGACCTACAGAACGCTCATTAGTAAAGTGAGTACGAATCGAGGAACGATATATTTGTTACAGTTGGACAGGGTCCAGACCGCGTTCGTAAGAACATTTGGTTCACGTCTCAGTGCCGGAAGCACGGCGCAGTGAAGTGTGGCTGAAGTTGGTCGGCTTTGAACAGAACGATAAGCTTATGGACACCTACAAGATGCTTATAAGTAAAGTGAGTACGAATAGGGGAACGATATATTTATTAAAGATGGACCGGCCCCAGACCGCGCGCGTTAGTGCATCTGGTTCGGGTCGGAGTACCGGAAGCTTTGCGCGGTGAAGTGTGGCTGCGGTTGGCCGGCATCGACCAGAACGATAAGTTGATGGAGACCTACAGAACGCTCATTAGTAAAGTGAGTACGAATCGGGGAACGATATATTTGTTACATTGGACAGGGTCCAGACCGCGTGCGTAAGTACATTTGGTTCGCGTCTGAGTGCCGGAAGCGCTGCGCAGTGAAGTGTGGCTGCGGTTGGTCGGCATCGACCAGAGCGATAATTTGTTGGAAACCGACAGGACGCTCATCACTAAAGTGAGCACGAATCGAGGAACGATATATTTATTACAGTTGGACTGGTCCTAGACCGCGCGCGTAAGTACATTTGGTTCGCGTCTGAGTGCCGGAAAAGAGATAGTATACTTACAGCCATACTCGGAGACGCCAATTAAATTTAATGTCAATAAAGTCGCGTGTTGTCTTAGGCGCGGGACACAAAGGAAAGAAGTAATACGCAGACGGGCGCGGGCATATGTCTCTTCCGCGTTTTTTTAATACAAAACGTATAAAAACGTGTCGTCGCAATCACATTTAGGAAAGACACGGGGCGGACGCGACGCTTCTTCATTTTGTATGAAACTGACAATGTGCGTGCGCCGGCCTGCGTCTTACTTCTTTTCCGTGTCTCACGCCTAAATCTACTGTCACCGCGAAGAACGTGGCAGCATCAACTCTATTTAAACTTAAAAGGTTATGGGTGCCTCTTGAGTGTGGCCGTTAGTAGCTTAAGAGCCCTTTTACAAAATTGCGCCGCTCTAGTTTAGGTAAATATAACCGCGAGCGTGTCGTAGTCGCACGAGCGAGACATCGAAGCGGCGAAGTTCAGTATAGCGCGCTTTACCAAATTGATACTTTAATATGCAATTATTGATTATACAATAAATGCAAATATAAAATAAAGTTAATTTGAAGTGCTAAGATGGATCCGTACTGTAGCAACGAACGATTCTAGATAGGAATCCTGAGTGGAGCAAAGGATACAAGGATTAAGTTTTTTTACTATTGTGAGAAAATAAATAATATATTTATAGTACCCATTGGTTGCGTTTTGGAAATGACAATAAAGATTAATTATGATTATTACTAATTATTGTAACTTTATATGTTTGATTTGCATAACTTCTGTTTGTTCAAATTTTTTTATTCACTCAGTAATTAAATGAAAAGTTTGTTCACTGTTATCGCTGAATGAAATCCCTTTTTCGAGTGGCAATGAGAAATAATATTTTATTTACTTGAATTTTTAGTATTGACTTTTTTAATGATGATTGATGTTTGGTAATAATCAAATATCTCAGTAAAACTGTACTAAGTGTAGTTTTGTCTTTGCCTTCGTAGTTCATTTAATAAAAAAGTTTTCGCACTCTGTATTTTCAATATATCTGTAAGAGTATTTGATAAAAAAATAAAAAGCATGTTTTTTTGTATTCGTGTAATTTCCATTCATTTAAACAAAACCCATCAAAAGCATTTAACTTTCATAGGAACTCATCTCTTACACACCTAACTCATGAAATTTTTGCTGCGAGTTCTCGTATGGTAATTTCAGGATAAATAATATGAAAACGGAGCTGGGAAAGTTCACACCTCTTCCATCACTAGCTGCTGTAAAGCACATTCAATAAAATCTGCTATTCTCTATACAATTAATTACTCATCAGTGTTATCAAAGATTATCATCACTGATGCTATCATAACCGGAAGCAGTCTGGTAGTATAACGTATCACGTACAATGTTTGTCTCTTTTTGAAACTGATGATTGATGTTTTGTTTTTCGTAAATTACAATGAAGGTTATATTATAGTTATCTATAATAATATATTATTCTTTGTGGATTATTACGGTGACAAAGGGCCACAATACATTTAATTTTAATAAAAGTATGACGATAATAAACAAAATACTTATAATAACAACATCTGAAATTTCCTCGCTCATTATCAATTCTATAAGTTTTTATTTCAGCTGAGGTGATATTGATATGTTGACATTTGACGGTCCAACACCCAGTCTGGTGTTTCCAAGTGCAAAATGTCCTGGTATCATTACACGTCCTCCATCAACCATATGCTCCTCCTGAAAACAGATTATCTAATTGACTACAATACTGCTTTTATCGACTATCTACGCATATAAACAGATATAGGCAACACTGGAAATACATTTCCAATCCAGACACAGATATGGTACGTAAATCAGCAAGTTACTGTCAATTGAACTTATGAAGCAAAGAAGTCTAAATATAAACTATTAAAAATAAACTTTTTTGCTCTAGAAATGCATCCCATTAGTTTAAGTTTAAAACAAAAAACCAAACTGCTAACATTGTAAACCATGTACTAGGTACAGTTGTAGTAGTGAAATACCTATTAAGTCAGTATAAAACAAATAAAATATTTAAATTAGAGTTTGACGCTTCCCTTTGTTCCTCGGATTCGATTTCCAATCCAACAGCATTTTTTTCCTATATAATTAAATTTATTATTATAATTTCAATTTCTCTTTTCATTGTCTACTTCCAATAACAACATGAAAAACTTACAGTTTCCGTTGCAATCGAATCCATTAAACTTATGGTCGGTATAGTTTCAATATTTTCGGGGTTGCCATTAAAATTTAGTTTCCATGTAAAATACATAGAACTGTGGATTTCTATTCTAAATACATATATTATTATGTTGGGCCAATATGTACTTTGGCGGCCCACGAGCTTATACTTGTTATACTTGATCGAAATGCAAAATTTTACCGCACTCTAGCTTTTTTTATAGACATAAGGATAGATTGACATACCCATTAAGTCGTTAAGTTAAAATCGTTGGCCATTACAGTACAGTACCTTGACTGATTACAATTTTGATGATGATACTTGAAAAGTCCGGACAAATCACCATTTTTATACAATTAAAACACCCATTGAAACTACAAAAATAAAAAACGAAATGTTATAAGCATATTCACCTTGCTTCACAAGCTTTCTTTATGGCTGCATCATTCTTTCGTTTTTTTTTTGACACAATGGTAAGCAGGAATTTTACGTAAAAGCTTATAACAAAAATATTATTTGAAGCAACGATAATTAATAACTAGGTAGGTACTTATGATAATAAAATTTAATACGGTTGTGGATACTTACATACAGTCAACGATTAAACTTTTGCGGTCGTAGTATATCCAGCCAGTTTTACGATGAATGCACTCGTAACATCGCTCGGAACGCGTGCGGTACAAAGCGGCACAGGTCCGACCTCCAAAGGCGCTGGCGCCGTACTGAACGGCGTCTTGATTTGCACTACTATATATTGCATTTTACGGGTGATGTTCAGAGTCTTATAAAATAATAATTAATGAAATTATTATAAAATTATATACACATTTCAGTAGTTCAATGATTGTAGATTAGTTTTATGACAGTTTTTGATAGTAATTCTATTTAATTCAATATCAAAATACGAGGTAAACCTGCGTTATTTTTTGGGGAAACTCACGGAGGTTAGATGTTTTTTTAATAATTAATAAGATGGAAAATCAAGATTCTAATACATTATGTTGCAACAAAAACATATTTCTGGTGTCGTAGTAATTAATTTGATCTAATTTATTGAACATTATTGTGAGATTAAGGCGTTTTTAGTTGTGCATATTATCGTTTTTTCCGTAAACTAGCTGCGGTAGAACGATCAGTACAAAAAAATGGAAATAGTATTTGAAAATATTCTACATTAATTTTCAATAGGAAGAATAAATCTATTGTTTACTTCTATTGGAAGTAGTCAAAATCTCTTCTAAGGGGGCAAACGAGGCGCTCAGGAATTGCGATTTATTGCAAAAAATGTAAAAGGGCTCTTAAGTTATTGTGTAAATATGCAAATTTCATTGTTAATCTCGACCTCCAGTGACTACCTCCATGGCGGAGTGGTTTGTACGCCGGGTTTCAAGGTGTCGCCTACTCGAGTGGTGCCGGTTTGAATCCCGGTGGGGGCAGATGTTTGTGTGATGAATACGAGCATTTCTACTCCAGTCATGGATGTTTAATATGGTATCCCATAGCACAAGCCTACTGTGCTTTCTTTGGGGCTAGGCTAATTGGTGTGTTGAAAAAAACATCTAATCAGCAGCGCTTAGTAATACTTCGACAATAGATCTGGAAATAATGGTCTTATTTATGTATGAAAGTCGACCTTACATTATCAACTTTGATCCTTTACTACCCCGACAACAACGATAATACAATGATTTGGTACGTTTTCCTATAGGACTGCCCCTTCGAAGCCGTGATACAGCGCGACATCGCCCGCACATTTCCTGCGCACGACTTCTTCCGTGAAGCGGGCGGTCTCGGCCAGGACTCACTGTTACGGATGGCGCGTGCCTACGCAGTATACGACCACGAAGTCGGCTACTGCCAGGGGCTGAGCTTCCTCGCCGCTACCTTGTTGCTTCACGTGAGTTGTTAACACTATCATTTGATGCTATGATACATTGCGACTTCTTCCGTGATGCGGGCAGTCTCGGCCAGGACTCACTGTTACGGATGGCGCGTGCCTACGCAGTATACGACCACGAGGTCGGCTACTGCCAGGGGCTGAGCTTCCTCGCCGCTACCTTGTTGCTTCATGTGAGTTATTAACACTATCATTTGATGCTATGATACATTGCGACTTCTTCCGTGATGCGGGCAGTCTCGGCCAGGACTCACTGTTACGGATGGCGCGTGCCTACGCAGTATACGACCACGAGGTCGGCTACTGCCAGGGGCTGAGCTTCCTCGCCGCTACCTTGTTGCTTCATGTGAGTTGTTAACACTATCATTTGATGCTATGATACATTGCGACTTCTTCCGTGATGTGGGCGGTCTCGGCCAGGGCTCACTGTTGCGGATGACGCGTATCTATGCCGTTTCTGACCACGAGGTCGGCTACTGCCAGAGGCTGAGCTTCCTCGCTGCTACCTTGTTGCTTCACGTGAGTTGTTAACACTATCATTCGATGCTATGATACATTGCGACTTCTTCCGTGATGTGGGCGGTCTCGGCCAGGATATTTTCTTTAGATTTAAACGCTATGAATCGTTTCCAAATATTTAATAAGCGTATATAAATAATACTGTCAGTTATTAAATTTAGTTATGTTTCAGATGCCAGAAGAGCAAGCGTTCTGCCTTCTTGTACGCCTCATGTACGGCTATGGGCTACGTGAACTCTACAAAGATGGTTTTGAAGCCCTATACATGAGGCTACATCAGTTGGATCGTTTAATGGAGGTAATAAAATCATTATTAAAATGTTTTTATGGCTCACGTTTTATAGATTCGTTATAATAACTACAAATTTATTACATAAAATAACAAAGAAACCGAGATCTCAGTTCATATGTGAATAATATCACCATTTTCCAAAATGTCGTAATCGTTAAATATACAAGTATGGGCACAAAGGTTTTTTGTCATTTATTGTTTCATTAAAAGTCAATTTTGATACCAATAAACAGAATATCACTGCCTCGCTTGCAATTTTAGTTGCAGGGTACTAAAGCAAGTTGAACACAATAAACTTTCTTTTTGTGTCGAGTTTACACATTGCTGGTACCAATGTCGTTTCTGTTTTCCAATAACACGTTTTTAGGTACTCACGATCGGAGCAATGAATGCAATGTAGATCAAAATCTTTTTCATTACTTTAGAAACTTTATGATTATTTTTTTATCTCAGGAACAACTAACGGACTTGCGAGCGCATTTTCAAGAGTTGGGCGTAGAACCTCACATGTTCGCTTCACAATGGTTCCTCACGTTGTTTACAGCGAGATTCCCGTTGCCTTTGGTAAGTCAATAAATATAAAAAAGGAAGTATTTTTTCTTAACATTTTTTTCACGGAAGAGTGTGAGTGAGGTTTTGCATTATATAAGTTTATATGGAGAAGGAGTGCACAAATCATTTTTTTTATATAATAATTTATTAATACATAATATCCTATCATTAATATTGTGAGACAACGACATATAATGCGATTCAAATAAGAATAGGAAAGCCAATGACCTCAAACTGTCAAATGTCGCTTAAAAAGTACGGTTTGCAAAAAAAAAATTGGAACCCTTTTTTAGCACTGCTAATTGTAGAATAAAAACCACACATTTGTAAACAAACAATAACAAATATTGATAATTAATATTGGTTGATATTTTTTTTCATTTATTGAGCTTTGGCTATGAATGGTTGATAACATAAACCGTCAACCAAATGTCACTTTAAGTTCCGTTCAGAAACTCTATTTAAAACTTTCGTTTACCTAAAGGATGCATGTTCGTATGTGACCTAGTAATAGTGCATGATTATTCCTACTCCGGCGGTAATGCAGCGATGAGCGGAATTGAAGAGCTAGATTCTCATTAACGTTTTTTCTCATACAGTCTTAATAAATAAATATTATTAAAAATTTGTTGTTTTTTTCTCAAACTTAGTAAACATTGTAATAAAAAAAATCTGATGTTTTTTCTCACTTAATCTTAGTTAGAAGTTTAATTAAATAAAATAATTTTATATTTTTTATTATTTTTAAAGCATGTAACTGCTTGATGTTTAAATCTAAAGAAAATCTAACTAGAAAAAATCCACGCGGACCACGCACCAGACGGGACCTGGTCAATAATATCTTTTTTTTGCTCACTCTACCTATTTCGTTTGAATTGACAGCGATGACGTCAAAATATGGCGCCCAGTCGCTCCTATTCTTAGTTGAATCGCATTATAATGTTTTTGGAGTAAGTTATGTTATATGTATAAATAGACATAAAGAAAGGAGAGAATTCCCTGTACAACTGTAAATTGGACTAAGTTTGAGAGAGAAGAACCGATCGTGCGTGCAGCCATTAGCTCGTATAAGTATTGGCCGCAACATCGCGTTTTTTCATTATAGATAGTTGTCAATTTCATTTGAGTATCATTGACACCTTTGTGTTTATGTTTTTTATGCGCGTTTTAATGGTTGTATTACGCAATTTGTTATCAGGTTTATCACATCTTGGACGTATTCCTACTCCAAGGAATGGATACTTTGTTCCAAGTTGCCTTGGCACTTCTTTCACGCGCGCGTAAAGATTTGCTGTTGCATGACTTCGAGGGCGTACTCAAATATTTTAGGTGAGTTTTAAATCAAACGACAATATTAATGTTGCTACCTTTATACTTGATTTAATATCGTATCATATCTGTTACCCAATAGAAATGTGATTTCTGTTATTTTCTTTTCCCAGTCGAAAATTAAACATGGAATTTGACAATCTCTAACCAATTGTATTGCTGGCAGTAGACGCGGCCATATGTATTTGCTATTTGTGAACTTGCCAACCGTATCTTCTTTTCGTTCCTTACTGAGCACGATAAGCATATACTGCTGTCAAGTTTACAATAAGCAAACACGAATAGCCATGTGAAGTACATTACTATTATTACCAATGCCAAATGTGTATGTATATATATATATACATAAAAAGAACCCTTTGATGCGAATGCGATGCGAAAATTTGAAAATAGATGATAAATAAGTCCTTTTAAAAGACAATGGTGTCGTTTCTGGCAAGATTCTCGTAACTTAAAACTAAATTTAATATCAGTCTCATTCTCATTCTGTGTAGAGAATGTCCGTATGTACACTGTCTTCAAATTTAATCTAGGTTTAGAGAATCATTCCAAACCGACATTAATAGTAATGTATAATTGTTTTTTCGTTGCCTATAGAGTAACACTGCCAAAGAAGTGCCGCGCGGAAGAAGCGTCTCGTCAACTAGTAAAACTAGCGTGCAGCATCAAAGTCAAGAGGCTGCCTAAATACCAACAGGAGTACGAGAAATTCGTCAAAGGTCATTTGAAAGTATAATTTATATTAGTTACTAGCGGATCCGACAGATAAAAAAACATACCACATTGAGAACCTTCTCATTTTTGAAGTCAGTTAATCCTACAACCCGACTGCAGTGCCACCTATCGGGCCCAGATGTGAATTTATTTTGTATTATTTATTTAATGTTAAGTCTTCTTTGAATTAACAAAACACTGTTGTATATTTAATATTAAGGGTTATTTATCATTTATTTCTACTTTTATCTTAGCGTCCGTAGTAACAACCTTCAATGTTTTCTATTGACAGAATCTGCTGAGAAAGAAAAAATCAACGTCGAATTGGAGAGGCTCAAGATGATAAATACACAATTACAACAGGACAAAGAATTGCTGGAAACACAATTGAATGAGGTGAGAGTGTAAACTGAAATATAATCTCTTTCTGGTTATGTAGAATCAGTAGTAAATTTTACTTTGTAAGACTAGGCTTAAGCTTAGTTTATTTTACGTACAGGACTATCTTAATCTGTCAAATGTAACCTAACGTAAAGTTCAATATATTTGGTATTTGACAAGTATTAGAAAACGATCTCACGTTATTTATTAATGTTTATGAGGTCCATAAAAAGTGGATATTTCAATTCTGTTGTGTGATTCAGTAAAAAAAACTAAATTAAAAATTCCATCATTCATCAGTCATTTTAGCCTTGGCCAATCCCAGGCGTTTTCAGTCACGTGACCATGGAGTAAAAATATAATTTCTTTTTAATGGTTTTATAGAAAAGTTATTAACTATTTGTTACTTCAGAATAGTAAAATCGCTGCTAATATTTATATTAAATACAGATGCCAACAATTGGTACATAATTTTTTATACTGTCGAATAGCCTATTGCAACAAATAAAATCGAATCTTTGTACTCTAATAAGCTTTTATTAAAAAAAAAACGGCGGAGACTGGCCAGTACTCTTATAATTATTTATTTATTATCCTAGTCTCGCCTCAAAGCGGACGAAGCGCAAAAGGATTCCGTCCACTACTCAGCCGTGGCGCGGGATTATAGAGAAATATGTGCTCGCCTCGACAAACAATTGCACCAATTTCAAGTAAGTTTCATACAAGCAACTTGGGATTATTGAACTTTTGACTAGCAGCGATCTCTTTCGTACAGCTTTAGAGAGTGACAGTCAGAACCAGAAACGTAAATTAAGTTTTAAGAGTGATAAAGTTTAGTGCTGTCTATCTTTACGACGAAAAAAGAAAAACACCGTATGCGCCTTAAAATTATATTAAGTTAATTTGACGTGTCGTGTACAGCCATGAGACAATAAATAATATATCATGGTCGCATATCTGTTTCATTTTGTTTTTGAAGCAGTTTCAGATTTTATGTTAATTTAGTTATGCATATGTCTTATTTCAGGACTCCGTGAAAGAATGTGTGAATTGCTGCCAGATATTAGCCCAAAAAGACAACAAAGAAGGTATGTGATTCTTTCAACTTTAGTTCTAAACAGTTGAGGTAGTTGCGTTCTGTTTCTTAAAGGCGATAATCGCTTGCGCTCAACGTAGTTACAATAGTCTGTAGAGGTTTCTTCTAACTCTTGTCACCCTTTTGAAGTCCACTGCTAACACTAAAGCTTATCTAATTCTTTTTCTGTCTGATATTATTGTTTCCTACTAATTTTAATGAACCAAATAGCGGAAGGACTGCCCTCCCTGCGTGGCCAACGGTCATCTTTTCTATATGTGAGCAACATAGCACTTTTATGATGCCAACATTTCACATGGTTATTCGTATTTGCTATTTTAAACTAGACAAGAGTCTCACCTTTTCTTTCCCTATAAATAGAGCATGATAAGGATGTACTGCTATCCTTATTGTCCTCTATAGCTATAGAAAAGGAGAGTTTCAATAAAGTAGCTGAATACAAACTAATTTATAAATGAACTAGCTCAATTGATTTCAGAGAGTGAACAAAAGGGCGATGAGAAAGAAGAAGGCTCTAGCGACACAGAGGCGAGGTTGAGGCAGCGAGTGCGGGACTTGGAACTGGAATTAGCTCAAGTCAAGTTGGCGCATGTGCAAGCTCAATGTAGCAACCAGGTCTGTGGGAATAAAACGTTTAGGACTAGCGTATACAGTAGTCTTGACTTTAATACTAGCTTAGTGAGGTTGATTTTACGACCGACCATTTAGGGCTCTGGCGACATTTAAGCGAGGTTGAGGCAGTCAGTGCGAGTGGTAGACTTGGAACTGGAATTAGCTCAAGTCAAGTTGGCGCATGTGCAAGCTTAGTGTAGCAACCAGGTCTGTGGGAATAATACGTTTGGGACTAGCGTATACAGTAGACTTTAATACTAGGATAGTAAGGTTGATTTTACGAAAAACCCGTTAGAACTCTAGCGAGGCAGACAGAACTGAAACTGGCGTAAATCAATTAGGCACATGTGCAAGCTCAGTGTAGCAACCAGGTCTGTATGACAAAACTAACAGTAGACTTTATTAGTAAGACAGTAAGATTGAATTTTAAACGTGTTTATATAAACTTTTAAAAGGCAAAACTCTTGGCGAGACTAACTCATACATTAGACTGAATAGGCTTTGTTACTAAAACGGTAAGCTTTAAATTAATGACTGAACATTTTGAACTTCATTTGTTTATATAATCTTTATATAAATTTCCAGGAACTCAGCCATCAACTAAACTCGGCACTAAACGAAATGCAAGCGGCGATGAATCAGAAGCAGTCAGTCGCACCTTGGCTAGTTCGCACGTTAGGTGAGTAAAATCTCAATATGAACATCACTCTATCTGTAAACTTATATTTAAGCAATACTATCTATGTGTCTCATAATGAAGACCTTTTCTCTAAAGGTTCCATAATGGAAGCTGCGCAGAACCGGCCGTCTTTCCAAACTTACCTACCCAATTCGAATCAGGAACAACCGACGCAACTTCATAGACAAGGATCGTTCACGCAAGGCCAAGGGAACGCACGCACACAGCCTAGTCTCGACAGGCGAGTATCTGAGCCCTACAGCCCCGACGTTGTCAGAAGGAAGAAAGATATAAATACTAAACGACACTCGATGCTCGTAGACTCTAATGTCACGAAAGAGACCAAAGAACTCAATCGACGGAGCCACCAAGAAGCCGTGAAAAAACTCTCGATGGGTTGACACATACCATTGATATTAAAATTTTAGTTAAACTTTCATTGTAAACAATAATGTTGTATTTATTTTTTGACGAATCGGTGAAAACTGTAGTCTTTGATACGATAATGATGATTTTCGATGTTTGAATCATCTGTGATCGCCGTTCACAGAAGTGGCGAAAAAGACGCAAGCAATGTAAAAAAATAACATGCATGCTTTAGCCAAACGGTTCCCTTAGTTCCTTACGTTAATTAAACGTTAAACATGGAATTATTTTATGGTAATAACATTCATAAAATGCTGTTATAATTCTATCGTTATCGATGGATTATAACGATGACATACTATTTTTATTCTTTCGATTCTATTCATAGAAAACGCCGTTTGTCTAAAGTGTCAAGACTAATTATTTACATTCAAAATATAATTTCATGACAACCACGAAGTGCGTATATATATACAAGAAGAGGTGCGATTACGTGATCCTTGTTGCATTTTATCGCATGTAGTCGCGCTTCAAATTTTTCGTGTTATATTTTATTATGGTGGTGAAATGATATTATGTGTGGTTTCGAATTAGCACGAATGTGTCCGTATTATAATTTGTCAGTGCTCTTTAGAAACTGCATTAATATACACACAGTATTCAACTGGCAACTGATGACCAAAAAGAGAGGTTACACTAGTCAATATTTTATTAAAATGGAAAAAATAGAGTTTTTTTTGTATATGTTTTATGTGAAACTTTCAAGTAATGTTTGGTTTAATTTGTTAATATTTCATCCAGTTTATTGCCAAGTATTAGCAGAGAGTGAAATTGTATAATTTTTATGGTATTTATTTTAAATATTTTTTTTATAATTCTAATCAAAAAAAAAATATTGGTCTTAATTTGATGGCGCGAGTGACTTTTAAGAGGTTTTTTTTGGAATATGGAAAAAATTATATACTTTGAATTATTTGATTTGTAAATGCCGATGCTGTCAAATATTTCAAAAATCCCTATAATTATGTTGCTGACTATCAATATGCGAAATTCAAGGGAAAAACACAATATGAACCGCGGTTGTATAGTAAATGAGCATGCACATTGTTTTTTATAATATCTACAATACAACGATTCGATATTTATGAAGAGAGTAGTACGTATGTGCTGAAACCTTAATGGCAATCATTTTAAGACCTTTGTTTAATTGTAAACAGTTTTATAAAACACCTGGCAAACTTAATTATAATTCTACTTACGCCCAGGATGTTACCATGATTATTCCTAATACATACATAATATTCTCTATTGAATAGAAAACTATATACTGCTGGCAAAGGGGATGGAACTGATCTGGCCTATCGACTCGCCGCCATTTTTAATCTATTTTCGCAATCGCGGCGCACGATAAAAGTGGTATGTATGGGTAGATGACACAGGCGAACAAAAAATGTCAAGTACCATGGTATCCTAAAGTGTTACATCACCGACAATCATTAAATAAATAGACTTATTATGGGCCTATAGGCGTCAGAATATAATTGTAACCAAATAATCGTTTCAAAGTTTATTATTATTAGTACTGTTTATTAGAAGAGAGGTAACGGGACACTGAGGTATGTACCATGCTACTTGACATCTTTGGTTCGTCTATATTGTTTCCTCTGCCCATAATTACCACATACATCGTGTGCCGCGATAACGAAAAACTATCAAAATGGCGGCGGGTCCATAGGTCAGTTTCCATACAAAAAAGTTCGAACCCCTTTACTTTTAGTTTTAGAGATACATGCCGGAATCAGGGCCGATACTAATGTATTGTTAATAATGGAAATGCTGAGTTAAACAGCAACTAAGTTTGATAGGAACCTAAGTATCAAATCTTCTGCCGCGACAACTGTCTTATTTTTGAATACTAGCCTTCAAATGAGGATTGTGATGTGAATTGAGGGACCCAAATTTTGAACAGAAAGCGCTGTTGATGTTATTGTATTTGTGACCTTTTTTGGTGTGAGCAGGCTGTAACTAAAAGCTGTAACAGTAATATTTCCTTTTTAATCTAAGAAACGCGCAAAATTCCCTTATTCAAACAAAGGCATTTTCACGCGTTTGTTCCGGGTATATGTCATGTGTAATATAAAGAAATGTAAAAGAATATTATTTCGTTTTGAAGATATTTACTTTGATATTATTTGGATGTTTGATCAGGTGATGATGAAAGAGGTATTTAATTATATATATATTTAATATATTGAGAAGAGGTTTTACTATGAGAGATTAAAAGGAAAGTTACATAAAAACTATATATAATAGTCAGAATCACTAAATTAGAGTTAAAAGAAACACACGGAATGATATTTTATGATTAGTAATTAATGTTGAATTATTTTATGGTTAGTAATTAATGTTACTTCGGACTCTTTAGTTGCGTAGATGTGTTTAAAAGTTCGATACGTTGACTAGAATACGGTATCCTATTCTTGAATTGAAAATAAATTTTCGATATACTGTTATCTTTATCGTCGCATCTCTCTCTAAACTTCATAGTTCCTAATGCTGTCAAGTAGTACATGACTCATGACGAAGTTCAGAATACACCGAATTAAGAATTAAAACAATATGGCTCTCTGATTTATTCTAACTAACGAAGCTAAAGAATACGAAGTATATCATGTGTAAATTATTTGTGTTAGAAAATATGTTGTTATGATGCACAAGTGGTTACGTTCTCTTTTAGGCGTCTGTTCGATTGTAGCGTTGGTTTTGAAGTTAACAAGGCTGTATGCGGTTATTGAGAGGGTTGAAAAAAGTCTTATTATGGTGCGACAAGGAGCTTTATGAATGTGGCAAAAATTGGAACTAACGCCGCCGCATTTTTTAACGTCATATTTTGTATGTCATGGACTACGTAGACAGTGGCACTCTCACTGAACTATCACTCATATTCATGCAGATTTCTGCCACTAGTTGAGAAAATTATTTTCATAGTTTAATTTCTCATATTTTGCTGTTTATCATAAATAGTAATAGTTTTTAATGTACACATCTAATATATAGATCAGTTTGTAGATAAACTATTCAGGGTTGATTTACGACATAAATGAAACTTGGATGTACAGTAGAACTCGAATAATAAAAGGAAAACAGGCCTACAAAAAAAACGGCTGTGAAAAACAAAATGCAGGATTAACACAGACAGGGTTTTGAGCGTCATATTGCTAACACATTTGAGGAGATATAGATCCTTGTCGCACAGATGAGAATTTGGTTCACCGAACATTCACCTTTATCATATTGGTTGATGGGATTGATAGCTTCATCTAATGGACGCCAAGTACGAGTGCGGTAAATGTGTAGACTGAGTGACAGTAACTTTTATGGAGAAACCAAAAAGTCTAATTTTGCTTAATTTTTCAGATAATCGTCAACTTTTTTAAACCAAATAAAATGGTCGGTACAAACTCGAAATTTTCACAACGGTTTAAGTTAGTGTCATAATCGTAAAGGATATGTCATTCTCTTTCATTCCCTAAAAAGCGTCATATGGATATACATACATATATGCTGTAATCTCTACAAATAGTAAATACGAATAGCCATATAATGCGCAAAAATAAAAGCAAGGAACATATTAAAGTGAAAGGATTTTTAAGCGTTTAGACGTTGCGGTAATCTGTTGCTATCCGGCGGGCGGCATTCTAGTTTGCCACCTAAGTGGTATAAACAACCTGGCGTGTTGTTGGATGTATCTGAAATGTTGGTAAAATAAATGTAATTATAATATTAACCAATAATAAAAGTCATGTACCAAGCTTACATTCCATATACCAATACATAGCGGATACCTATCACGAATGTGTGTGCTTTTAACGAAATTAATCTTTATTTTAAGGCATTAAAGTAGAGGATACGAGCACTCATTAACCACCACAAACATTGATGTGTGACCAAAGGGCAAATCTGTGGAATTTTGTATATAACACACATCTGATTTATATCCTTTGTAATATAGTTACCTCTAAGGCTGTTCTAGCTATATCTGGGAAAGTGCTATTATACTTCATTTGTACTGACAGTGAATGTTTAATTTCAGTTGCATAATTTCATTGCTTTGTATATTCGTTATTATAAGATTGTTAACACACAGCCCATAGTTTATATTAAAAAAAGACTCTAGAATATATTGTAACTAATGAAGACTTCCATCATTAGAAACATTCATAATTATTTTCTTTTGGCACATATTATTCTTCAAAATATGTCATTGTATCGTACTTATTAGTTATGTACCTGTATGCTTCTTATGAGAATATATAAATTTAATTTGTTTTTAATATAATAATTGTTTAATATTAGTCACTGTATAGGATGTAAGGCTTCGGAATTCTAAATTTTATTACTTAAATATATCACTTTCTTGACAATAATGTATTACATATCCACTCCGTGTTAAAGTGCTTAGTTATACCATCATTGCTTTCTTAAATCTTTTATAAAGATTCGGATGAGGGATCATAAAAGTTTTTATTTTTGTTGCAAAAATTACATTTGAGAGTACCTCTTTTAAAGAAATATGCGGTCAAACATTTTAAATGAAAAAAAATATTTTTTATTTTTATTGTTTTCTGAACTCATTAAAATGATATTATGTTCTTAATTTCTTACTGACACTGTGTTACAGGCCTGTTCTGTATAAAAAACCTATCTTTAATAAGCTTATTCAGATTTACATAGTCCCATAGAGCTTCTTTAAATTCTTTAAGTATTGGTCAATTCATACCATCACAGATTCGAAGCGCATCGAAGTGTCTTTCAGAAAAACGTAATTTATGAATTTGTTATGTTTCTGATTGACGCTACGATGTGCTTCGACTTTGCGCTAATATAAATTGACCATAAGTAAACCATCTGAGTCGTATTTTCGGAATAAATAAGTATAAGCAAATACAAATTGCAATTTATTAATACATACAATTAAAAATAAGCATAGAAAAGCTACACAAACTTTTCATAAATATCAGTATTTGTAAATAGG